CGAGACTGGTGACATCTTATCAACTGGAAAAAAGGTAGATTTACTAATAAACACAAGACGTACAGCGGACGTCCGAGGGAGATGAACGAAGAGGTAAATTTGGGAGAATTAACCCAGATGCAGGCATTTAAAAGGCTTCCCTCTTCACTCTTTAGAGGAAATTGGTTTTGTCGTCAAAGACAGGCTGCACGACCAAACAGTCTGCTCTGATTAATTTCACATACAATATCACTGGAATAGCTCCGTCCCAGTATTACTCTTGAAAAACTAGATTTGGTCATTTCTGAAAATCCGTAGGCAGTCACACAAACAGCAGCCCCATCTGTCAATTACTTGAGTGGGCCAGCACCAAAACACTACTTCACATTAAAAGTATTACAGAATGCACAATAGAACATTCTGGTTTTTGTAAATACTTAACAATCCCATTAAACAGAAAACTCCAGTACATCTGCTGATTTTCAAAATGTTATCATCTCTAGTGGACTCTTCTTGGAATGAGTTGTTTATCCAGACAGATTAAAGAGGCAGAAAATAGATAAAATGCATTTTTTGGATTGTAAATATGTCGCTTCTCTGATAAGGCACTTCTGCGCTGGATGAATATGTGTGTATGTGCAGACTACCTTGTTCTCAGCATAGGCTAGCCAACGGCTTCCCAGAGCTATTGGATTGAGGCTGGGGCCGGGGCAGGGATAGCAGCCTGGAAAGACACAATGACGGCCATAAGACAGTGAGGACAGAGACACACAGAAACAGATATGAAATAAACTAAAAACGCAACAAAGAAAAACAGGAAACAAACCAACTCATGCTCTTTTACTGCTTTTTTCAGGTCAATTTACCCTTTTAACTAATAAATTTCTAATAATGGAGACAGCTGGTGCTTCAGTTCAGTCCCTGCCACTTAAAGACTTTTTCATCTCAGAGTCAATAAGAGCAGGCTTACAGTCAAACAGTATATTTAGAGTGGTGTGGATTATGTTGATTGAAGAATTGAGTCCAATTTTACAGATTAATCAATACAAGTGTGGTCAAGTGACATTATTAAGACAGTCTATACCTTTTTGAGACAATCTCTTATTTAAGCTACTTTGATAAGTAACCTCATGACTGAAAGTCTGCCACAAAACAGGAACTCCTCCCTGGAGAGTGTCTGAAACCATCTTAAACCGTGTGTTTGTGGAGACTTTCTTGTTTTGGAAAATAAATGGGAGTCTGATGAGGTTGACGTGTCTATATGCGTGTGTGTGTGTGTGTGTGTACACCCAGGATGACCTAATGGAGACTGGTACCCAATAAAATTGAAGATGGCTCCTCTGGTGATTGACCAACACAATAACCTTTATGGGGATATATACAAACGCACATAAACAGGATGACACACATGTGTTGTCATCACAGATTAAAATAGTAACCAGTGCTGAATGACGAATAAAACTCTTCACAAACGCTAAAATCGCATATTTTTCTCTTTTTATCGATGCAGAAGTAAACACGTGTTTTAACCAATACCATATCTGACAGGAGTTTGCTCTTCAAGACAGAGTCAACCAAAACCAGGCCTCCATGTGCCCGTAAACAGAATGAAGAAAGTATTGATTTCATCATAAATATCTTTAAATGTAAGCAGATACAGTGACAGTCTCTCCTTCCCAGTATGGCAAACACGCAAAGCATCAAAATGCTGATCCAGTGATGATCTTTTAAAAAGGTAGGTGTTTGTCTCACACGTGCACAAACATGCAAACACACTTAGCTAATGTAAGTGCAGAGAGGTGTGGGGGAAATGGCTTGCTGACAATAATTTATTGCTCAGGGAGCAGATGAG